CTAGTAACATCCAAGGCCTAAATATCATCTGCAAATTTAAGTAATTTATTGACTATTCCTTCATCCACGTCTCTGATGTAAATCGAAAAAGAACAAAGGTCCTAAGACTGAGCCCTAAAGTATGTTTGATTCTACTTTAAACAATGTCCATATTTATACTCATAAGGCAGGCATTCCCTGATTTAAACAAACATCTGACAAACATACCTGAACTATAGCCAGATTTATCTGATTTATTGTTATCAGCATGTGTTCGCTCTGACAGCCCTAAGGAATGATTCATTTGTTTAACAGATCTATGGATTTCTTCCTGTTCTAACTTTTGTGGATGTCCTTTGAATGAATGTGCTTCATCAAGACTTCTCTTGACTACAGGAAAATGATTAATTTGTTCAACACTCCCATGGATTTCTTTCTCTCTTAATGTTTGAGGTTGTCCTCTGAACGGATGTACTTCATGAAAACTTCCCCTGACTGCATAAATCATTATCTCCTGAAAACATAATATTTCAGTTTTTTTCTTCTTTTAAGCAAACATTCTACAATATACAGATGATATTCATTTATCAAACCAAAGATTTCTTCTCCCAAGTTGATTTATTTAAAATAAATGGGAAATATCTGTAGAGTAAGTCAAATTTAAACAGAATAATTTTTCTGTAATCAATGTAATTAATACTATATTAAGATGATCAATAACTGTAAATATTTTTCTATACAAAAAATTACAAAACTAAGCTCTGAAACTAACAAAAAAAGCATAAATTGTCCATTTGAAACTTACTTAACAGGGTGTCATCTGTTTTGCCATCAGAATGATCATTATGAAAGCTCTGTATTGTTTTATAACTATGTATCTTATTCTCACTTTTGTATTGTTTTTATGTTGTATTTCTTCAGGTAATGATATGTACTTCCTAATTTATATTTCATGGGGATATTTTGATTTTAATGTTTCTCTTATTCTCACTTTTGTATTGTTTTTATGTTGTATTTCTTCAGGTAATACGTACTTCCTAATTTATATTTCACGAGGATATTTTGATTTTAATGATTTCTGAAAAAGAAATTTAGCTATTATTATCATAAAAAGTATAAAACAAACATCCATTTTTAGCATTTAAGTTTTAATCAGTTGTCCAGAAACAGATTTTGGTTAACATGTAATTGTTTTGTGTGTAGTCAAATTCTTTCAATTTATGCTATGCAATGATACACGGATTTATATTTTTAAACAAAAAATAAAGACAGCTTGTTCTAACATTACAATTCATATTCTTTACAAAAATTTATGCCATTAAAGTGTGCAAAACACAGCACAACCAATACCTAAAAAAAGTGAAAGTTTAAGAAATGCTTGAATAAACAGAACAGTACTTTTTAACAATACGATTATACATCTGTTCTCATGAGACACAATCCCAAATATATGCTTATTTTCATACTGTTCACTACTGAAAGAATCGACATATTGTATCATACTGAGTAATGTTACATTTTTGCCTGCTACAACACTCATTATAAGGAACTAACCAAAAAACAGGGTAAAATCACTTCATTTTTTATGCAGAATATAGGCAGCATTTACATATTTTGTGTGATTCATACAACATTAGATATTCTGTAATAAACAGTCATGAACCCAACCGTGATGTATATAAAGTTCAGAGAAATGTGTTTGCAAAAGCAATAGGACACATATAGATTCATCATTAATTCTAGGGTTAAGTTATATTAAAATGCCTAAGTAAAGCACAGTAATTTGTTCAGATGATGATGTTTAAGAAAAAGGTAAATAATAATCCTAGTGGAAAACATCTTAAAAGCACCTTAATAAGTACACACACAAAGAAACAACTGAAAAAAAAAGCTACTCATTACAAAATACATAAGTATAAAATACCATAAATATCAAAGATTAAAAAAAGTACAGTTTAATACACACACACAAAGACTCTAAATTACTTTATGGACCACAGAAATGCTACGATCTGGAAGAGAGGGAGAAAATAGTAACATAAATAGTGAACATGAAAGATGTAGAATTAAGAGAAAGAAGCCAGAAGTTATTTTAAAGAGAAAACAAACACAGATTAGAAGCTACTAAGTATAGGACAGGACATCCATTTTGAAACACAAAATAAAACATTTGCCAAATAAGAAAAAGTTGAAGACATATTTTGGTAAAAAATCATCTGATTAATAACAAAAAAAAATAATTTCAACTGGCAAATCTAACAAGTGGAATGCTGATAAAAAAATGTTAATAACAAAAGAACTTTGGTAGAGAAATCTTTCCATTTCACAGATCAGAAAAGCCTTCAACAAGGCTAAAACAACTGTGTTTGTTTTCAGTTTAAAAAAATGCCAAGAGCAATGTGGAACATATTTAATTATAACAAACAAATCAAAAGCTAAAACCACTAGGAACTACAATAATAACCAAGAGTTAAGTCTGAAGTCTCAGAAGCATCTCTTAAAATAGAATATGAATAAATTAATTAAACAAGACCAATCACCTCTTAACATGAATAGATGATAGAATAATTTATAAGTTTTAGACCATAATCAATGACTTAGAGCATTAGATTACAAACTATGGATGAAAGTTCTTCCCTTGAAGATGACATAAAAATGATTGTGTAATTATTTGAATGGATATTTATCATTCTAAGGTAAAAATAATTCTACACAGTGAAAACAAGCCCTGCAAACTTCCCAAACAATCCAGGAGATTGCCACTATAAAGACAAAGCAGAAGATCAAAAATCTAACATTTGAAAGTAGCTTCAGGTTTTTAAGCATTGTAATGACAGATATAGTCATAAATTTCACCCTTCCATAACTAGTTCAGAAAATTTATATATATTTAGAGTTATTCAAGAAAATTTTTCTAATATTCATGTAGGTTTTTGTGCACAGAGTATGATATTCTTGTTAACTGAATGCCCAAAGGTCTTTCAAGTGAAGCTGCAGATGTCAAAACCCTGATACTCCTATCATTTTGGCCTTATGTCTGATCCCTGTGGAGGGGCAAGCTCCTCAGATACTGGTACAGTATGAAATGAGTTATAGATTTATCCACTCTGTAAATGTTGTTTGCAATAATTGGTGACACGTGAAACACTGGATCGTCATATACTAGACTTTTAAGGTTTTGTATGAATGTTTGTGGTTAATCATATTTCCATTTGTTTTAATCCTGTGTTGATGTGTACAGAAAGACTCTCAGACCAGCAAGATACGTACACAATTTTTATGAATAAAAATTTTTACTTGTTCATTAAGCATGTTTCTTTTCTTTGCCATTCATGTTCAATTTATCCTCTGAATAATATTTTTGGATTCTGCATTCTGCAGATATATCTGAATTTATCCATTGGTTATCAGTGAACCTGAATACCACAGCATCCATGAACAGATTTATAACTGGAGTTCTTAAGAGACCTTCAACACTGGCACTTTCTCTGTCCAGTTTTAATTTTAAGAGTCCAATGGTCCAGTAATTAAAGCCTATTAAATACTTCAGTATCCTCAGAACAAGTCCAAACTAATGAAAGGGATAATTCCAAAAAAAAAGGCTAAAATTCTTGAAACACAAACACACAAACAGTGTGACCTTAAAATGACTTATACTTAGAAAACAAGAAGTTTAATTTGAATCTGGATATAAGATAAAGATTACTGGTCTCCAAACTTTTCTCCTTTATAACCACAAATAAATAAACCTATAGATTCTAGAACAAGATGCCTTAAATTGTCTAGAAAAACTATAATATACTCATTTAATGAAAAATCAAAGAGAAGACACTGAAGGCCATTTTTCTTATAATAAATATTTCATATGTATCAAATAATCCCACACAATCTACAAAAACACAAGGAAATCAATACAACTAATAAGAAATAAAAAATAAAACATAAAACTGAGCTCTGAAAGCTCCCCTTGGGAAGCAATTAGTAACAGTCAAAGTGTAAATGAAGACATACACTAACAAAACATAATCATGAGATCCTGATAGATCTAAAAGGTCTGTTCACCACTGTCTGAACATTAAGAACTCATCCCAACTGCAAATCCACAGACTAAATGCCAACTTTGCCATTCATCAAATTCTGATCAAGAGCAGAAACTTAAGGTGCAACAGAATCAGTTAAGCCTTATGGTTGATGTAAAAATCTTAGCCTAAATCAGTTATAATGTACAACATGGTAAAAAACAAAACATGCAATGAAAGTCGAATGATTAGTATAAGTAGAAAACCAATCAATAAAAAGATGAGGACCAATGTTTTGTATGCATAAAAAAAACAAAAAACAAAGGTGCTCAGAAAAATACATGGTCACTGTAAGAACTTCAAGCTGTCTGGAGAAGATTACCAGTTAAAAAAAAAAGGCTAAATGTCAAGATAAGAAAGTGTATACAGTAACACTACAATACGAGTACATTGGCAATAAAACTTTTAAAAATGCATTTTGATCGGATTGTCTTCATGGGCATAACACTGATACTCAATAGATTTTACTTCACATGACTGTGTGCAAGGTAATGATCACAGATGAAAGAGTATCCATGACACCATTAACGTATGTTAAAAACAGGAAAGGTCTGATACAACGAAAGAAGACATTATAGCTTTTTTGTCCATTCAGAGTAAGGTTTACATACTATACAAAATAAAGCTGAATCACATAAATAACTAAAATTCTGTCACAGTGTTCTAAGAATAGGTGTATCAAGGAAAAACAAGAGGTAACTCTTCCAAATTCTTTGAGCTTAAGTATTATATTTTAACTTTTCAATTACCTTGTAGCTTTTTATATGTCAAAGCTACTTTGAAAGTCCATTTTTTTTAGCAAAGACATAATTTATTCAGAGGAAAAATTACTCTACTCTCTCCTTGTATGCAATTTTAACTTTTTTTTTTTGTAATCAACAAATCATATCTTACAGGTTGCTGTGGATCCCCAGGGTTTACATTGGCTAGAATAACTACAAAAGACCCTTGAACATTCACTGCCTGTTCCAAGTTTTCTTTGGCTTGTGCAATGCTCACATCTGTGTCTGGATTTTGAGGTTTTTGGTTTTCAATAAGCATAAATGAAGCAATAATTTGACCCACATTTTCTGAGAATTCAACCTTAAAAAGAAAAACATACAATAATTAAAATTTACCACAAATGCATATTATATAATTCAGTTTCACATACGCTGATCCAAGTAATTAAGGGCATAATTCGAATTCCCCACACTATAGCTATGACAAGGCACATCTGCTATTATTAAATATGTCCATGAAACCCTTGAGTTCATTTCTATATAAAATAAGTGTTAGATGATAAGTCACATGATTTTACAGGCACATTTCATTTGCATACAGAAATGAAGAAAAAACAGTGTGTTCTCAGTTAGCAGTTTAAACAATGATACTATGATTAAAGAGATCCAGGCTGATAGTGAAACATCCCATAACCCCAACAAAGATCTCCGTACATTACCATGATGTTGAAAGCAATAAAGTGGCTAGTGTACTGGCCAAAAATAACAAGCTATTGTACATCCCATTTCTTCTGATTCAGCTCTATCAATTGGTAATTTAGAATGATTGATGTCTCATATAATATGGTTAGCAGATGTGGACTCAGTTAGCCAGATACTTGGAGAGTAGAGACCATTTATAGGGTTTGATAGGTATCTATGTCTTTCTTAGATTCTTTTTCTTTACTAAAATTGCACATTTTAGTGAGAAGAAAAATTCACAATTAATTCAACAGCTATTGTAATTTATTCTTGACAACTTTGCAAAACAAAAGCTATTTAACAATACGGGTTCACAAAAACCAATGAGCCTCAATTTCGCAAATGAAACACCCAGATGACAAATCAGCAGGCAAATGGTTAGAAACAGGTGTCATAAAGATTGAACTTTATGCCAAATGACCAATAGAATATTCCTCTACCTTATTGCTACAATGCATCTCATCTTCAGAAGTGTAAATAACATGTGGATTGGTCTTTGATATGTTGGCAAATTTCTTCCTTGTATATGAATCACTCTTCACATCGCAGCCAGATATGAGATGTATACATGTGTCGATAATGTTCTGAAGCAGATCCAACTCCATTTTCACAAAGGAAAGACATGCATATTGTAGTGGTGGCATAATGGCTTGGGTAGAGATCAATACTGGTGGCCACACTGACATTTAGTTGCTAAGAAATGACACAATGAATGCCAAATGAAATACAGATATGGTCTTATGTGCAGTTAGTCAAAACTTTTTTCTGATGGATGATAATATGTGCTCCCACCATACTACTGTTCAGCAACTTCCTGGAAGAAGAGAGTATAGAGTGAAAGGATTGGCCAGCTCTACCTCTGAACTTGAAACTGGCTGAACATGTACGAGATGCTCTAGGAAGATGTTTAACAGCATGTGATTCACCTGCATGTGGCAATTATGATCTGGATGCAATTTGACGGTAAAGTGACCCACAAAACCTCAGTAGCTCACTGATTCTCTAATTTTAAGCTTGCAATACTAATATATGATTTTCATAAATGTCCAAAGTGGTCATACACCTCATTAACAAATATTTCTTGATCATTTCTTGAGCAACAAAATACTGTAGTACTAAATGAACATTTGTGGATATGGACTTCAACATTGGATATTTGCAAACCAAATTCTGACTTGTATTTTGACACTTGTTATTGCATACAAATAATCTCAGGGATGCCACTGACACTGTTTAACAACAGCAGTACTGTGCCACAACTCTGACAACTTAGTTACTTTGAGTAGTGTAAAATAAATAAAAAAGATATAAATCAATGGTCTAATGTTTTTTCTAAAGATTTTTCTGAAAATTATACCAAGTCTATGATTAGCAGGTTAATTGAAAATGGAAGAAATGGATGTGAAAATTAATTCATATAAAAATGGGTGTGAAAGAAATTGCAGAACAAATTAAGCTAGATTTAGAATTTAATGATAAGATTTTAACTGCATATCAGCTTCCTACAATTAAACATACACACAAAAACTACATAATAGTTAGGAAAGAGTTTGTACTGTTTTAGTTTTACTCATAATGACTACTGTATCTAATTCTTGAACACACATTGATACTAAGATGGCTTTTAATTTATATTAAACAAATAGATCACCAGTTAATAAACAGTAATGGTCTAAAAAATGCATCAGATTGTCATTAACTTGTATATTAAAACCATCATGTTATTCACAACATTGATGATGACCTTGCGACTGGTTTGAAATCCGCATAATTTTATTTATCTATAACTGTTACACTTCCAGGACATAGTTGTGGCTTAAAAGATAATTTCATAATTGTCATTTTAGTTTATTGACATGTCTACTTAGAATTCTGAAAATAAAAAATTTTATTACGAGTTTTTTTTTACCATTAGCCAAGAATCTCCCATAATGTTTTATTGAATCATTGAGCCACAACTATGTCCTACACTACAGAGTGCCAGATTAACCATTAAGTTACACACAACATAAAATATAAAGATATGAAAGCACTTTAATTAATATATCTTTAGTTAGCTTGAGAAAAAAACATTACTCTGCAAAACATTCTTTAGAGCTTTTACATTATAAAACAATAGTAAAATTAGCATTTTCAAGAATATATATTCTAATGGATTATTGTTGTTCATGGGTGTTAGTCGATTAGCCACCACAAGTCTTCAGTTTTAAAAAATACAAAAAAGAGAGTGCAACTGTTAATAAAGTACTAAAAACATTAAAATACACTACATATAAATATTAATAATCAAATTAGGATTAAAAATGAAATTAAACAGAAACAGTGAACATGAAAGTCTTAAAAATAGTGAATGCCCTAAAAATTTGCATAAATTGTATGAATATTTTAGGGTGAAATAATGAAGACATTATTTGAAATAAAAAATTATGAAACTGTTTAACTTTCTCAAAAATGCTTTATTATATCACACTTACTATGTGTGTGTACATATAATAATAAGATAATGTCCTATTTCTTTAGTTTTTAGTATGTTGCATTAAACGAAACAGAGAACTTCTCGGAGAGTAAAGATTAATGTAACAGAAAGAAAATTACACAATATTTGATTTTAATAGTATTTAAAAGTTGTTTTTTTATATTAAATTTTCAACAAATGATTTTCAAGTTGCACTAAACTAAAAGCTTTCAATAACTCATTCACAGTTTCATACCCTGAAATCTTGAACTTGCAGAACTGAACCAAGTTGACTAAACTCTCGTATTGAATATCTAGCTGCATCCACAAAATCTCTTTTTCTGTCTTTAATTAATTCGCGGTAGGTGCCTTCAAAGATCACATAAAAAATAAGTACATTTTTATCATAACAATGCATGCAATATTTTGTGACAAGAGGAGGATAATAAGTAACCACATGTGAAGGAAGATATTTAACTCTATACATGATAATAGAGAAACATTTTCATGAAGTACTTTATTTATAAGTGTATAAGAAAAGGAGTATTCAAAGTAACCTATATTTTTGAATTGTGATTTATTTGTTAGCTAGAGGAAGCTACAGGTTGTAAATGATGATGTTAAGTAGGCTGCCTTAGAACTTTATAGGTAGTCTACCTAATGTCATCATTTATGACCTGCAGCTCCTTCTAACTAACAAATAAATCACATCCAAAATATAGCTTACAATGCTTCAAATATCAAACTTATATTAAGATACATGTGGAAAAAGATTTTAATGAGGCATTTATTTGTTGTTTATTTATTTTAAAATTTCTGAAAGCTTATAACACTACAAATCAGGTTTTGATACTTACAGTGGGCACAGCACAGATAGTCCATTGAGATTAATAAAAAAACAAACACTTTGAAATTTTCATAAATCTAAAATATCTAAAAATTTTCATAATATGATTTAATAGTTCTATATAGAGTATAATACTACAAACAATTAATTGTCGTTTTTCACTTACAACAAATCAACTTATCACGCTCGTTTATTTGTTGTGTTGATCATCTTTATTAATCATTAATAACACAAAAGACTTTAAATTCTTAAGCCTTTCTTAAGTATGTAATATTTTTCATAAACAAATCACATTGGAGTTTGCAAAAAAAATTATTTAAGTAGGAAAGCAAAATGTTTAATAGTTCAGACTTTTACTGCTAAGACTGGAATCTAAAAGAAGCTTATTAGCCCATCCAGGATGTCCCTTCCAGCTCCCAACTATAACCACCCCTTACTACTCATGTATTCATCCAATGTTTTCTTGAACTCAGTTAAATTTTCTGCCTCCAACAACCTTGAAGGCAACTCATTCCAAAATCCAACCACCCCATTTGAAAAGTAATACTGTCTAAACTGCAGATGACTCCCACTCTGCCAAAATTTGAATTTAAAGCTTCTTGTCCTATTGTTTTCACTGCTAAACACAAAAAAGTTTGATGGATTTATTTTATCAATAACTTTAATAATCTTAAACACTTCAATAAAATCCTTTCTGAACCTCCTCCTCTCCAGAGAAAACAATTCAATGGCCTTCTTGAGGAAGGGAGCCCAAAACTGTACACAGCACTCTAAATGAGGCCTTACAAATGATCTATACAGTGAAACAATAATATCCCTTGTCTTGTATTCACAATATTTCTATAGATGCTACCAAAAATCCTATTAGCTCTATTGATAGCTACAATACACTGTTTAGATGACTTAAGTGATTTTACAATCACAACACCAAGATCATTTTCTTCAACCACAGTATTTAATGTATTCCCATTTAAATTGTAAAAACCGACATGCATCACCTTACATTTTGGATAGTTAAACATCATCTGCCACGTACTGGCCCAATAAATCAAATGATCTAAATCTCCCTATAAGTCTGCAGCATCTTTGATAGTTAGTCATTTACAAACTTCAAAATTTTTTTTAGTCATTCCAGAGTCAATATCATTAATACAAATCACAAGCAGCAGAGGACCCAGCACAGAGCCCTGAGACACACCGCTTGTAACTGTAATCCAGTCAGACCTAACTCCATTTATTACTACTCTCTGCTTTCTACTCTCCAGCCAATTTTCTATCCAACTTAATAACATTTCCCCCACACCCACAGATTTAATTTTTGTAGCAAGTCTTTTGTGAGGTTCCTTATCAAATACTTTCTGAAAATTAAGGTAAGCTAAATACACAGTATTTCCTTCATCAACTCTTGCAGTAACATCCTAAAAGAATGTCAAAAGATTTGTTAAACAATATCTTCCCTTAGTGAAACCATGCTAGCTCTTTGACACTATATCAAACTGCTTTAACTGACTCTGCAATGCACCTTTAATCACAATCTCCAAAACCTTTCCAACTACTGATGTAAGACTAACTGGCCTATAATTGCCTAGACAATGTTTATCACCTCCTTTAAATACTGGACTAACATTAGCCAACTTCCAATCTTCTAATACTCTTCCACTACTCAATGACCTATAAAAAATATTAGCTAGCAGTTCACAAATATAATCTTTAAGTACTTTTAAAACTCTAGGATAAAAGTTGTCTGGTCCAGGGGATTTATTAATTTTAAGGTTTCCCAACTTTTATCTTACAATTTCAGAACTTAAAATGATATCTTTCACATCAATATTCTTCCCATACATTAAGTGCTCTGGTGGAGGCATAATACTTGTATTTTCCTTCATAAAAACTGAAGAGAAGATATAATTTAATAAGTTTACCATCTTATAATCTTCCGAGATAAGCTCCCCACTATCATTTTTTAAGAGGCCCAATCCTCATCCTAACATTTTGCTTACCCATCATATACCTAAAGAATTCCTTAAAGCCTTTTGATCACATTCCTTTATAAGGGATACAATATGAATATTTGATTCCTTCAAATAGTAAAACAATTAAGCAAAATAATACAGTAATACTTCTGTTAACAAACCCTCTTGGAACAAAGCTCATTTATATTGCAAAAAAATAAATTAAATAAATCTTCAGAAATCATGTGAGGCGATTCCAAAGAGTAAAATTTTAAATGCAACACATGCTCTGCAAATGCAACCGAGAGGGGTGTGTTTACATTATCAATAACAAATCAGTGAAGAAGTTTGGAAGTCTTCCCTCTCCTGCCCACCACTGCTTGAGCTTGGTAATGTAATCATGTTTTTTGCAGTGATAAAGTGATTTTTATTACCCCCATTATGTTATACATATGACCTTCTAGTGTTAATGGCTAGGCAAAAAGTGCAGCATAAATCCATTTTTTCGAAACAAAACTGCAAATCATAAGTGCTGTTAACATAGTGCTAGCTCTGAGAGAAGTCAATACTGAGTATTATTTTATTGGTTTATTATTTTGTTTAATGTATTTTTTAATGTGTATTTCTTTTTTTAATGCATATTACATGTTTTCAGGCACATTATAACCTTATTTTGTTTGTATTTAATGATGTTTTACTATTGTACTTCTCTTCTCTGAAGTTCTAGAACACATCCCTATGCCTCCAATGTTATATCTACCTCTAGTAACGAAATGTCTAACAACAAAGTGGCATCATGGAATGAAAATACTTCATTACCAGAGGTATTACTGTGTCCACTTTCAAAGAGTTAGAAACAATGTAAATAACTGCCTAATCTATGAAATGGTTAACTTATATGTATGTAGTGATTCTTGAATGTAAAGTACTCTTGCTAGGCTATCAGTCTAATGACCTTTATATCAACATAAATCATTCAAATTAAAAAAAAAAATTTTACAAAGTTACAGTTTGTTTAGAAGTAGTCATTCAGCCATTATAATGTCCACGGTTAAGCTGCTTTATTTACTAAGTAACTCAGGCAAATTATTAAATAAAAGTACAAACAGTTTTATCTTACATTTAATGGTTATTAAAATTTGGCATTTACACAGGCACACAAGTTTAGTCATTTGGGGTTTTTGAAGACATTTCTGGAAAAAAACTAAGCATCTGATTATTATTTTTAATGGTCAAATGAGAGAACAAATAGCATAAACTTTTTAATACTGCGATATTAACTCTTAAATTAAAAAAACTTTAATTCAGAGCCTTTAGATGATTTCAACGCTAATACATACGTTTGAAGAGCATTAGGAAGTACTTTCGATGGGACTTCTCTGCACATGAACTAATATCATAAACAGATAGTGAAGGCTGACGTGGCTTGAATTTAAAAAAATTGTGTTCTACAAAGTCTTCTATTAGGTTATTCTCCGAATCCTGTAAAGACAGTTAATGTCACTATTAAATTTTTATCCAGCTTTTGGAAGAATTCCTGCTATCTTCAGCAATTCTTCTCTAAGACTAAAATCTAATTGATGCTTAATAGGTTTTACAAACTTGCACAAATTCTGAATCTTATTTTAGAAACTTTTTAATAGCCCTATTTTGAAGTGTTCTTCTAAATTGAAATATTACAACCAATTTTTTAAAGTAAATAAGTTATTGTACTAATTATTTGAAGTGATACAATTATATTCTTATAAATCTTCAACAAAATTATTATTCTTTCTCTCAGTTACACTGTATTGTAACATAGTTTGAAATTATCTCCATGTTTAGTTATAACACAGTTTTTATAAGCTTAGTATCTATAAGCAGTAGGTCCTGTTTATAATTACTTTTTTCATATAACATTCAAATTGACAAATACTATAGAGAAGGATAAATTCATGCTTCAAATGTATATTACAAAGTACAGTCTTACACAGTTTCATTATTTGAGAACTATTCTTAGTTGTGAAATCTATAAAACATTCTGCAGTATGTAGCTCTGAAAAACATGGAAAAAAAAAGCTTGCAGTTACAATTCAATCTCTTAAAAATTGGAAATATTTCCCATTTTCCAGACTTAAAACAAATATATTTGCCAGATTTGCAGGTAAAACACTAAAACATCTAAGTGATTGATTGAGAAAACATAATAGAAAATTACCTTTTCTTTAAAGATTTTCTTCTTAAGACTTGTTAATACTCTAACAAAGTTTATTACGAGACATTAAAATTTCACACAGATACAAAAAAAAAATGTCAAGAAATTAATAGTGACCTAAATCACTTCTTTATATAAGATAATATCAAATAACTGACAGGTATTTTTCATCAAAATAAAAATTTTATGCAAATTACAAGACCAACCACGTCACTTGAGGTTTATACAAATATTATATCTTAGATATAATGAACTCGTTTGACATCCTAACAAGATTAACTCCTTACCAATTGGAACAGTGTTTGTGTTTCTCTGACAAGAATCTGAAAAAGTTCATCTTCATCAGAATCTGAATGCCAGTCTTCCTGGAACATAAATAATAGATACAAATTTCTCATTACAATTAGGTAAAAAAGTAGTGTTGTCAAGAAATAGCACAACAGATTTTAAAAAAATTGGTGATTTATCACTTCTTTTATTAAACAGTTTCTCTGTTCTACACCTTCAATAGATTAACAATAATTTTCATACAAATCTTGGTCGTTTTAATAGACTCATATTTGTATACATACAGAAACTAGTTACTATTAAAGTAGCTCAAAATGCACCTTTCACAATGTTCTTAAAGCTTTTAAATATTATTGAACTATGACCACACAGTTCAAGAAAGTGGTAAATTATGAAATCATAAATTACAAAATGTATGCAGAGGGTGTAATTTTAGATTATTTACAAGTGTTTCAGTAGTACCAAAAGACAAACTGTGCATCAATGAGCACGTTGAATTATTACAACTGGTCTTTGGTATTTCAATTATCTTTTGAACATGAGTGAGACACTCCAACTTTCTTGTTAAAAAAAAAACAATGTTGATTGGGAATAATTTTCAACAGAATTTCTCAATGAATTACTAGAACTTATGATTTAACTGAAGTGCAAGAAATATGCTGAAATGTACTTTAAAGAAGTTGCTGTGCAATAAAAAAAACTTACATTGCAAAAGTAATTATTGTTTTCACTTTGGTAATGCATCTGCTAAACTTAGCTACTGATATTAGAAGTACATAATCTAAGGAAGTGTGAGATGCAAATCACATTTCAAAAGCAAAAAAATAATTCCATAACAGGTTTCAAGAGCAGAGAAAAAGAAGAGATTAAATGAAAATTATTATTTGCTCATCTCCGCAACCATCCAAAATGGTTGTTTTTTTCATACTCAGGCAATGTTATACATAGGCCATCTCACTAGCCATCCATAATTTTGAACTGATAAACTAGAGGGTGATTTTCTTTCAGCAATGGGACATGAACCATGGACTGACACCTCTTCTAATCCACAATTCAGTTTGGCACACTAACCACTAAGTCCCACCTGGCTCAAAACCACTGGAATACAAAATTCAAAAACATCAATTATGTTTTCACCACTGCTCTTCATTCGTTTGATAGAAAATGTTATCTCTTCAAATACCAAGCTGAAAGAATCCTTTCATAGAATACTGAGTATATATATAATTGAATGCTGTGTAATGAAAATTCTGTATAATTTATAAATAGAAATAAAATTTAATTGAGACTGAATAGTTCATTAATAATATTAATGATTATTTAGTTAGCAGTTTTACTTGTAAAATAAACCCAGTGGTCAATAGCCAAAGATTACAGGAAATACATTTGATACTATAATAACATTATGAACCTCAATGAAACTAAACTCACTATTTTTTTACAGAACATAAAAGGACAATGGAAAGGTTTAAAATCAACAATCAATGAGCATATTATGAATTTATACAAACAATGTACCACTGAAACTGTTTTGGGATAAACAGAGAAGGTACACAAGATGACTCACTTTCCTGCTCTTTCAACATGGTTACCGATGATTTATTTCATAAGATCAACCAAAATATATGTGAAATTTTAAAGGATTTCTATCAGTACACTATGCTTTACAATGATGTTGCCTTTCTGAGTTTTGAAGTTGAAATGACTTTTCTGATTGGAAATGCAAGAGACATTTTTAGCAAACAACGCTTGAAGATCAATTCTAGAAAATATATTACCATCTCTATGAAATCTTAAGTCAGGCATTACACATTACTATTACTCAAGACATATTTATAAATAAGTAATGCCTTTAATAAAGAATTACAACCAACAGAGTTGAAATCTTATTTAGGAATGCTGTTTTCAAGCATATGTAAATCTATTTCCAGTATTTGCTTGACCAAACTCAAGACTCACAAATATTGTAATTCTGCATTAAAATCACACCAGAAAATTATTCAAATTAAATTTTACATAGTCTGTTTTCTAGTTTCATTAATTAGACGTACAGATTCAAACAAGGCAGAAAAAAAGAGACATAAGCATTTTTAAACGTACTTCTCTACTTCCTCATTATTTTACAGTAAATAATTCTTAAGTCTAAAAAAAGCAGTTATAAAATAGCAAGGATTCAACTCTTAAGATTCCTGAGTATTATCAGTTTTATGGAAGTTAAGAAATGACAGCTTACATTTCAGTATACGAAGAAAATGGTCCCAAACATGTATAATGGCACGTAATGCTTGTCTGGATTTCAGCATAAAGCTACACAATGGGTTACCTGCCCACCAAGAAGAACCCAACCCTAGCACTCAGCTTCATACTTACCACTAAGACAACAGGGATTGGCACATACAGTATGAGCTTGTGAGAAGTAAAGAAATCACTTATCTATCAGCTGTTACCTATATTTTTAGTGGTTACTCCTTCATTTCTTTTCCTAAATTATGTTATGAACTTTCTCTCAACTAGAGCTAATATGTACAGGGATAGAGCTCACTATGATAAACATTTTGCAACAGGGTGTTTATGAAGAACTGATAAGTTAGCTCATCTCAATAGTTGTTGCTCAGTTACAAATCTTGCTACCTTGCACATATGACAAAAGAGCATGGAGAAACTATGAATATAGACTGTTATGAAGGTTTACCCCCCACAATCTTTTGGGTCATTATACAAAATTACTTATAGAATTGCTAAAAGGCTATGTTAACCCTATAACAACAACACCACTTTTAAAACCCTTTCTACACATGTTACTAAGTAACATTCAAAATTCAATTAAACCACTTTACTGTCTATGTATTTTAATGAAATTATTATTACCAAGTACATTATAATTCAAAGCTCAATTTTTATTCCTTTATTTCAAAAGAAACCTCTGAAATATTTTTTTTAAACTTGAGTTTTGACATCTCATTACACACTCGCAGTTACGATCCTCAACCTTAAGAGCTGGTATAAAAGAAACTATATATATGTAAAGTAGACAATCTCTCCAAGACATTGAAAGTACAGTATAGGAGGTTGTTTCCAAGAACTTATCCCACCTGCAAAATAGAAGCTGTGTTGCTAAGCGACAGTTTAAATTGGATGGCATGCTTATAACCAATAGAAAGAGCAGGTTTTCTGTTGGAATGTCACTAAATTAACAGTAAATGTACATGTATATATCCATTTACAAACGAGGTGAAATAAAACTTAGTCCAATGTTGAGAGCAGGGTCCCTAGCACTTGGCTAGTTTCTCTCACCTTATACATATTTTGATAAACAGTCAAATTGTATTTAGGTCTTACTTTTATATTTTAGTTAATTATGTATTATTTCTGTTTCAAAATATATATTCCAAAGGTTTAATGATTATTTATGGTTTTCTACTCATCGTTTCACTGGTCATGCATCATAAAAAGAGGCAAGAGCAAATATTATGCCATAGGCTAAAATGGACTCTCTGCCTATTGTAACGTTACATTGCCTGCAGAGACTTGTTGAATTGTGGAAACATAAATAATAAAAGATAAAGAATTGGAAAGGAAAATAAAACATAACAAATAACAAACTTGTGAAAAGGTAAAGACTTGAAATTATGCATATGAACCAATGAAAATATTTTAAGATTATTCAACAAAGAGTTGAAAGGTATGTATATATTTTTATTTCTTAATTTTAAACGTTTTATTGCACTGTACACTGATGATAAATTGCTATAGTTAGTGATATGGTAGAGAAAGTGGAAAATAAAAAAAAATATTTACCTTAAAAAACTTATGATAATCATTTAGGAGGTTCTAGAGATTATGCATGTGAAAACTGTAAGATAGTAAAAAGTATTTTTATACCCAACATGAAAAACACCTTGCAGGTGAACTACTCAGAGTCTGAGTTCAAATAACTACATTAAATAATTAATTTTTATAAGAAATAGTAGAAAAATCCAAAATTAAATATTTTTTCTCAAACTAAACACTTTTATGAAAATTCTTGTTAAACTTAAAACAATTTTTTCCTCTCATTTTATTTTTGGAATGAAATATAATGAGAGTTACATAATGTGCTTCACTTTCGGGCATGTCGTTGTTATCGGGTTAAAGTTGGTATACTACAAGAGCAAACATACCTTCAAGAACTGATAAATATCAGTGATTTGGAAATAATATTTCGCGGCCTTGTCTAGTGGATGTAAAACCTAAGTGCAATTACAATGAGACACTTATTCTTGAAGGAATGAAAATGTGAATATAAGTATACAAATCTTTTACTGCACATGTATTTATATTACTTAGGGGCACAATATTAATTGAACAAGACGAGTTCTTATACTTAAATATGCATAAAGATCATGCTCTTTATCTTCAGTATTAAAGATTGATATAACTACTGAGGTGCAATTGAAGATTGAGCATAAGACACAACACCCTACTTCTTGAAAATCTTATTTTGTTGTTAAATATAAAGAAAAACTTACTGTGCTAAAGTAAAATTCTTGGTATTCTTGTGAAAAAGTGTTATTTTCTAACTTTGTTGCCTTTTTTCCACTCCAGACATCACATTTAATTCTTCTTGCATAATACTGAAATATAAAATTTGTGAAAACAATTATACACAATGCTTAATATTCATAAATTATATATGTGTTTGTGAGTTTTAGAGTTGCAGATTTTGAGTTTGAAAAATATTTCAAAATGTTTAACACAAAACTAAAACTCTTCAACAAATAACATTAAATGATCTACACACAACTTGTCCTGGTTAATTCTTAAGAAGAAACACTTCATGCATCTCAATATACTTTACACCAATTCATTTTTTGTTATAAACATTAACAATATCACAATACATTTTATATTAGCAATAGCAACATTTATGGAAACACTTTTAAAAACATAAAACAGAAATGTATTTGCATGTTTAAAATACTTTCTGGTTTTTCCTGAGAGTTTTATTAAGCTTTTTATAAAATGAAAAAGTTCAAACAACATTAGTTAAAAAGTATAACTCAAATGACCTCAAGAGATATGTACTTACTTTACCCTTGTAATTAAGGTTTTCAGGATCTAATCCAAACAGTTCATCAGGTGATGCCAATTTAAGTTTATCCGGATCACTTGATACTAAAAATATCTCTCTGCTAATGGGTTGTTCAACACATAAACCTGTTGATTTCTGAGTGACATACATCAAACCTTGTCAAAAATAAAGTTTGTTTAAATACATTTTCTGGTGTTCACAAGAACAGTACAATATTAAAAGACACGCACGCTAATATTTCATAACCATACTGCATATACACAAAATTAGGATGACTATATTACCGAGTTTCTTGGGTTGTAGTACAGTAAACTAAAGGAATTTGATACAAGTATTTGTCAAGTACAAATGAATGTTGTCAAAAATGTCTTTATGCATATGTACTATAAGCAAATATTTAACAGTTCATTTTGCTAATCCTAAGTTTCTCAAATTCGTAATCAGTCTAAAACTGATTCAGAGAATACTTGAGATATTAACACTTCAGTGTAGTTTATGTAGTATATTCAACTAAAAACGAATTCAAAATAAATTATTCTTATAATATTATACTGTTACCTTAAATTTTCATATGTCAACAACATGTAAAGCTTGTTGACCCTTAATTATTGTTGGTGGATAATTTTAAATCAGTATTAAGAAGATATATATATATATACACACACACACATATCATACTTGAATAGTTCTCAAATGTTTTAGTTTAAAGCCCTCACAATACCTTAGACATGACATTTCGGTTGAGAATCCCATTCTGTGATTTAATGCTCTGAGATACCTTACTGTCATTTCAATTTATTATTTAAAAAAAACAATAACAAAAAACCTTCAAGCATAAACCACATTGGGTAGTCATATTTTAAATAAAATATGATCTTAAAATGTACTGAGACCATCTCACGGATCTCAGTTCGGGAACTACTTTAATATTTGATGCCATAGGAGGACCACCAATAATTTATAATTCATAATAAAATTCATGATTCATAAAATTTCAAAGGGACAAAAAGGAACTTATTAGTCCATTAGCCATCAAGGATGTCCCTTCCAGTTCCCAACTATAACCACTCATTACTACTCATGTATTCATCCAATCTTTTCTTGAACTCAGTAAAATTTTCTGCTTCCACCATCCTTGAAGGCAGCTCATTCCAAAAGCCAACCACCCTGCTTGAAAAGTAATACTGTCTAAACTGCAGATGACTCCTACGCTGCCAAAATTTGAATTTATGCCCCTTTGTTCTATTGTTTTCACTGCTAAACACAAAAAAAGTTTGATGGATCTATATTATCAATACCCTTAATAATCTTAAACACCTCAATCAAATCCCCTCTGACCCTTCTCCTCTCCAGAAAAAACAAGTTTAAAGATTTTAATCTCTCCTCATAGGACAATCCCACCATCCCAGGTATCATCCTAGTGGCTCTTCTCTGAACCTTCTCCAACAATTTGTGCAGTAATGCATTTGAAAAAAATTTGGAGGTGGAGTTTGAACAAGTAATTTTTATATAGAAGTTACTTTCAGTGACTTTAGTTAGGGATGATGGAACCTAATCTTTTGGTCAGCTCCAGGTAAAAGATGAGTGATTTTTATAACACATTAGTGGTAGACACCATGTTTAAACTATTATTAATAAACTTATAATATAAAGATTTACTTTTATGACAAACTAATAATTGTAAATTATCTACAGTATTTTTGATTGATGGTCACAATCAACCTCACAGAGACATCATATTTTCTGCTTCTCAATTACATTGCACATTTCAGGTTTAGTTTGTATACCACACAAGGAATGAAGTTTTGGTTAAAGTTTTAAAATATTATGCTATGTTTCTATTTCCACTGAAACAAACAAGTGTATTATTTTACTAGTGATATACATAGAGAAAGCAAGTTATTTAACAGTAAATTCCACATTGTAACCCTCCAATTTGTTGCATTCAATTTCTTCTACTGGTTTCATGACTTCAAAGGTCACTCTTCAGGAAATAGTTTTACTTATTATTTATATATATATAAATAATTTACATTTTATTGAGAATGAATGTAACAAAAACAATTACATTTCCAATAATAAATGCAAAATTTAAATTTACTAGTCAGAATAATATTTAGAATAACACTAAACAATAAAGTTGTTAAAACACTAATAACAGGTTTTAAATATGCTGCTTTATTAAAACCTTAAACCCATTTTATATTTAGCCCAGGATTACTATAAGCTAACTAAAAAAAAAAGGGAGAACAAAAACAAAATCAGAAAACTTTTATAAATTTACAAAATATACTCACCAGATTTAAAATCTAAAACAGATGACACCACAGAAGAATCTTTGAATAAGCTCCAAAGTGTAAGGGTTGCCAGTGAAGGAACAAAATCAACACGAGCTAACTGTTGGTCAAAGTCATACCATATCTGTTGAAGGTAAAAATAACATAGTTTAGAGGTTAGTATTTGTGTGTTAAGTACTTTAAAGATTTAGTCAATATTAACTATCATCACATCTAACTTTATTGTAAAGTAATAAATGTTGGAAAAAGCTTAAGTGAAAAACAATAGCTAATAAATAATATTAATTTTGATTAATGTTAACACTTTAGCCAGTAAGCGAATGTTAACAAAATTTGGCACACTACCAGTAAACATTACAATACTTTCATACCCAAAATATCTAATTAGGAAATAAATATAAATTATGCCTCTTTC